TTCTGCTAGCATCTTCTGACTTATGGAAATTTTTTAGAAATTGAGGCTGTTCATTCATTTCACCAACTACCTATTAAGTTTCTCCATGTGCCATTCTCTGAGTTAGAAGCTGTGAACGTCAAAACCAATCACTATAGACATAAAACTTCTGCTAGATTGGGAAATCGTAGTCTAATAAGTAAAACAAACACATGAATACATAGACTGTTAAGGTATAATATTGTTAAGCAAATGAATATTAGTTATTAAAATCAAATTAAGGATTGATGAATGAATTATATGGTGTCTGGCGTTTCCTTTGATATAATATGGGAGGAGTGGGTAGGCGTATAAATGAAACAAGATTGATCATGAGTTACTAATTATTGAGGCTGAGTAATAAGAATGTGGAGGTTCAATATACTATTTTACTTTTGTACAAGTTTTATAAATTCTATAATTTAAAAAAGTTGAATTGAAGGAACAAAGAGCTTCCACCTCCAGGGAGATTGCATATGGATATAGATCCATGATGACTTTCATCTATCCCTTTCCATTCTGTTTGTCTAGATTAACTCTTAGTTCATTTAGGCTGCTATAACAGAATGCCATAGGCTGGGTGGCTTTTTGACCACAGAAGTCTCTTTCTCACAGTTCTGGAGACTGGGAAGTTCAAGTTCAAGGCACCAGCAGATTTAATGTCTGGTGAGAGGCTGCTTCCTGGTTAATAGACAGTCATACTTGTGTTGCATCCTCATTCTGCGGAAGGGCCAACGGAGCACTTTGTATACTAATGCCATGTACAAGGGCTCTGCCTTTGTGACCTGATCACCTCTCAAAGACCTCACCTCCTAATACCATCATATTTGGGGTTAAGATGTCAACACATGACTTTTGGGGTGACAGATATTCAGTCTTATAGCAAATCCCTAGGGTAAATCCCAACTTCTTAACAGGACCTACCATTGTCTGCATCATCTGGTGCCAGCCTGTCTAGAGTGCTTTCTCTTTCTTTATTCCTCCTACCCCTGCCCCATTCCAACTCATTCTGCATTTCCAATCTCAGCATAGGTGCCACCTCCTCAGGAAAGACTTCTCTGATTTCTTTTCCCCTATATGCTCCCTTAGACCCATGTTTCATTTCTTCCTCCCACCTTGCACAAATGTATGTTTTTGTGTGATTATTTGATGCACATCTTCCTAATTAGCCTAAAAATTCCATGCAGTCACAAATTTTGTTGCATACACGACAGTATTTTCAGTGTTTAGCTCATTACTTGGCATATAGTAGCCACTCAATAAATACTTACGGAATAAATGAATCTCTGTTAAACATGTCTACAAACACTGGACTCAGTTACATTCCCTTGGAATGAGAATATAGGAAGGGAAAGTGATGAATGTCTGTTCTTCCCAATGTGATATGTACAATTGAGTACTTGGGATTTTGGGTATTTGGAATGGGGTACTGAGAAGTCTGTCAGACTCAAAGAAGGAGGTTAGTGTTCTCTGGATCTAGGGTGGAAAGTCTACAGCAGCTTCAGCTCCTGATCAAGCTCTTTCTGCCCACCACTCACCTTCATCCTCCTTGACTGACCCATGGGCACTTTACTTGGATGTGTCAGGAAGGGGGAGTGGAACTTGGAGAATATTTAAGATGTTATTGTACCCTGGGAACTCATCAGCTTTTGCAATTCCTCTTTCCATGAGTCAGCCTTGGACTGGAACTTTTGTCTGACTCCCATGGTGTAGGGTTTTTGATGTGATCAATGACACCACCAAAGATTCTGCTAAATGGTCTTTGCCTTAATTTGTGTTATCTTGGGATTTTACATGTGTATACAAGGAAAGAAGACTTTTGGAGCTATAATTTGGTTACTGCAGATCAATCAGCAGAAGCACTGTGTACATAGTGAGAAAGCACTTTTGGGTTTAGACAGTCCCATGTTATAACTCTAGTTCCACCACTTATTTGCTGTGTGAGTTTGGGCAAGTAACATAACCTCTCTGTGTTTCAGTTTCCTGAACTGTGAATTTGGAATAGTAATTTTTGCTATGTAGAATTTGAGAGAATTAAACTAAGTGGTGATGTTGACACATTTCCTGGTATACAAAAAAATTTTTTTTAATTATAGAATCAAAATGCTGTGGTGAAGAAAGGTACAAAGTTCTATATCACTAGGGAAAGCAAGGATGACTTTACAGATAAGATGATAGTTGAACTGTGTCTTAACTGCCAACAACAATAATAGCAGTCACCATATATGTTATGTGCCATGCTAGGTTCTGTGCTTCATGGTTTCAGCACATTTTTGGCTCATTCAGGCCTCACTACTGTCCTCAAAAGCATACCTTGTTGCTTCTACATTTTATAGCTAGAGAATGTGAAACTCAAAGAAGTTAAATGACTTTCTACAGGCTGTGCATATAATGAGTGCAGCCGGCAGTTCTATTTGACTTCAGACATCATTCTCTTACCTGCTGAACTGCCCAGCCTCTCTTGAAGGTTGTGTCTGAGCTTTCCAGTATAAATGGAAAGAAGAGGGGTTGGCACAACATGTTCCAAAAGGAAAAGCTTATGTATCTCTTTAAATATATATTATTTTATATATTTATATAATATATGTTATATATTATTATAATATTATTTATATATTATTTTAGATTCAGGGGGTACATGTGCAGATTTGTTACATGGACATATTGCATAGTGGTGGGGTCTGAGTTTCTTGTGCACCCACCAGCCAAATAGTGAACACAGCACTCAATAGGTAATGTTTCAACCTTCACCTCCCTTCCAAAGTCCCCCTTTTGGAGTCCCCAGTGTCTGTTGCTCTCATGTGTACCAGTGATTAAGCTCTTATCTACAAGTGAGAACAGGCAGTATTTGGCTTTAAGTTTCTGGATTAGTTCACTTAGGATAATGGTCTTTATCCATGTTGCTGCAAAGGACATGACTTTGTTATTTTTTATGCTTTGTAGTATTTCATGGCATATGTATACCATATTTTCTTTATTCAGTCAATCATTGATGGGCACCTAGATTGGTTCCATAACTTTGCTATTGTGAATAGTGCTGCTGTGATAAACATATGCGTGCAGGCACCTTTTAAATGTAATGATCTCTTTTCCTTTGGGTAGATACCCATAGTGGGATTGCTGGGTCAGATGATAGTTCTGTTTTTAGTTCTTTGAGAAATATCCATGCTGATTTCCGTAGAGGTTGTACTAATTTACATTCTCACCAATAGTGTATGAGTATGCCCTTTTCTTTACGTCTTGGCCAACATCTTGTTTTTTGACTTTTTAATAATAACCATTCTGACTGATGTGAGATGATATCTCATTGTGGTTTTAACTTGCATTTCTCTTAAGATTGGTGATGCTGAGCATTTTTTTCATGTTTGTCGGACACAAAATCTTGTATGTCTCTCTATTTGTATATGTTAATCTTTTTGGTCTGTGTCCTGAAGCTAGCTGAGCGTTCCAAGAAGGTGAGAAGCATTCTGCTTAATCCATCATTTTTCCCAGGCTGGTGCTGGCACATAGTACGTCTTTAACAAATCTATGTTGAATGAAGGAAGAATTTGATGGGCTTACCATGCTCCTAGGCCTGTGTTACACATCACAGCAGGGGTAGATGAACATGTTTGTTTGACCCAATCACTGACCTTTCTATCTTAAAAAGGAAGATCTACATGTAGCTGGACAATTTTTAAATTAGCCATACAGGATGTTTCTTTCCAGCCAGCCAGCAAGGATTTTCCAGCCCAAGCATTGAGGTAATCTCAGAGAACACCGATTCTCTTCCTTGCCCAACCTTATCACCTCTCCTGGTGTCCAGCATGCTCAAGTTTTCTTTAAGAGTCTGAGATTCATTTCTGGTGACACTGACGTTACAGGAGGAGAGGTGAGTGGGTCATGTCAGCACAGACAAGCCTGGAGTCGGTACTTAGCTTTTTCAGACAAGGCATTTTCCTTGCGGTTGGCATCACAAATGAAGTGCTGACCTGTGGTGTCAAGCCATCGCGTGTGGGAGCAGGAGGAGAAGGGAGAGAGCGCACTGCGGGGGTAGCTTTCTCCCGGCAGGTATGCGAATAGGGCCCATAAACTGTCAAATGAAATTAAGGTTCAAAACATACAGCCTTCAATTTGATTTCAGGAAGATGCTGACTGCTGCTCGGAGGGAATACAATCGATTCTATTTTGACAGGCCTTGATGTACGCTAAGCAGTAACAGTCTCCATTCTGTGCTGGATTAATGAAAATTTGCCTTAATTTGCAACCCTAATGAAACCGTCTCTGGGGTGGAGACGATGCTTCTGATTTGCCCAACTGCTCCGTCCCCTTTGTGTTCTCTCACTCTCAGTCCTCCCCACCTTTTCACGCCTCGACTTTATCTTCTCTCCTTTCCTCTTTTTCTTCTTTTTTTCTTTTTGTCTTCTCTCCTCTGTACTTAAAAAAAGAGTATGGCATCCCCCCATGTGTCTTGCTTGTCACGCATTGCTTGATTTAATTCTCACGACATCCTTAGGAAGTAGGTAGAATTGTGCCCATTGTACAGATGGGAAAATGGAGGCCCATCATGATGAAGAGGCTGCCTAGAGTTGTCACAGTTAGCAAGTGAGTCAGCAAGTAAAAGAATTGGAGATTCAAACCCAGACATCTCTGATTCTAAAAGTTCATGCTATTTCAATTACATTAGCTGTCCTGAACTCTGGCAGAACATTAGAACCACCTGGGGAGTACTAAAAGTATCAGTGCCTGGGTACCACCCCCAGAGATGCATATGAAATTCCTCTGGGGTTGGGATGGCTGGCATGGGAAACTGCCCAGTATTCTGTTTTTCCCTTGATGCCCAGTTTTCTTAGCACAGACGTGGATGCCTGTGTTGAGATATGTAGCAAAGGGCCCTTGAGACAGACAGATTTCTTCCTCTGTGTCGCCTGTGGGGAGGACTTGCCTTTTGCCAAATCAGTGGTGCAAGAAAGCACAGGTGTGTCTTTGTGCTTGTGATGCAGGTGGGCAAGTGGGAAAACCAGACGCTGAGCCTGAGGCACGCCGTGTGGCCAAGGTACAAGTCCTTCTCTGACTGTGAGCCCGATGACAACCATCTGAGTATCGTCACCCTGGAGGAAGCCCCGTTTGTCATAGTGGAAGACATAGACCCGCTGACTGAGACGTGTGTGAGGAACACTGTGCCGTGTCGGAAGTTCGTCAAAATCAAGTGAGTGCAAGGATGCTGTCGGCCGAATGCACCCAGTCCTTTAAAACAGCACCTATCAGTGATGATAACATTATCTATCATTTAGTCGTAACATGAGATGTAAAATATACTCTATTATCATAGGTAGAACTTAATAATTGATTTTTAACATACTTAAATAAATGCCTGGAGAGGCCCCAAGGTTGCATGCATTTAATTCCAACAGCAATATGAAGAAGATAGTTTTGCCTGTTGAAATATGATAAATTTGTGTTAAGAGAAGATTGAGAAACATGCCCAAAGCCATTCAGTTGGGAAATGGAAGAGGTGGGACTCAAACACTGGTCCAGCTGATGCTTTATAACCCTTATGGCAAATCAACCCTCTTCAGTCTTTTTAAAAATAAGTATTTCCTTTCCACTTTTCTGGCTGTCCCTTCCCCATCCCCAGCAACTTGCTCTTCCTCCCATTTCTTTTATATTTCACAGATCCATGCTTCTCAAAACTTTAAAAATCTCTCCACTTGGGGATGGGCATCTGTACCTGTGACTTTCTGAGAGGTTCCAGGTGTGAAGTGAATGTTTGGTGGTTTCCCAGCTCCCTGGCAGCGAGCCTGCCTTGCACGGTGTCCTTTCCTCTTTTGTAATGACTAAAGAGCCGACATTGTGGATCAAGGGTCTTCCTAACTCACGCATCCTTTGGGGACACAGAAAGCTCCATGGCTAAGTCCAAGGCCCTGATTATGGTCTTTCCTAAGGCAAACATAAGAAAAAAAACCACCCCTCAAAGGGGGGCTAACAACAACAAAAAAGGCCTACTGTTGGGTGGAAGTCTATTTTTTATTCTGAGTATTTTCTGATCACCTCCTTTCCCCTGGCCGGTTCTTACTTGCCCTTTAAGTTTAGCCACTGTCTCTCCAAGCTAGGTTACTATCTCTACCTTATCCGCTGTCTGTACAGTTTATCATTTGTCTGTTTTGTCCCCTGGTTTGTGAGCTGCTTACAAATAGTAATGGGACTTACTAATCTTCGTATCCTCAGTTACAAGGACAGAGCATGATACACCAGTGCTTGTTTCATGACTTGATGGCGAACAGATACTTTTACTTCCATATTCCAAACTCTAACCTCAGTCATGATTACATGAGACACAAGTCCCCAGATCTTATGATTTGGGATCAGGGTATATTTTTAAGAAATATATAATTGCTAAATGTACTGTGAAGACACTCTTTGGTTTGGAGAAAAATTTATCAGTGAGGTCATTAAAGTCAGCCTCTCTGGTGTTGACATTCTGAATAGATCATGCAATAAATAAATACACCCTTCCTAGATAGTCCCTCTTCCCACCCAGTGCTCCCACTGAGGCTTCTGGGGCTGGAACTTTTGTTTGTAAACAGTTTCCCAGCCTCTCTTCCCCTGGGGATGGGGAGAAGGTGAGACACACCAAGGAAGGACAAGCAGGCAGCTCTATTTTATGGGCATGACTGTTTTAATGATTTTTGAATTCCTTTGCAACAAAATTACACAGATATTGCCAGAAATAAAATTATAGAAAAGTGTAAATAAGTGAATAAGCACAGTTTACATGTTAGGCACAGTCCTAGGCACAGGCAATACATGAATGAACTGGATGACAAAAACCTAGGACCTTGCAGACACAGTTAAAAAACAAGTCAACCAATGAAGGAACAGGCAACTCCATGGTGTGATAAACCTTGTGCAGGATGTAAACATGGAGGTGTAAGAAGAGAGTGAATTGGGATATGGGGCTATTCTAGCTCATACATGTAAGGTTTAAGGGGATATACAAAGGATGAGAAGGAGTCAGTCATGTGAAAATCTTGAGAAAGAAAGTCTTCCAGATAGAGGGAACAACAAGTGCAAAGGCCCTGAGGAGGGAAGGAGCTTGGGAAACAGAAGGCAACTTAGAACAATGCTAGAGCGTGAGGATCTGCAGGGGATGGTGGGGATCATGTGCAGGAGTTGGAGGGTCTGATCTGGGTGAGTCTTCTTCGAGCAGAACTAGGTCAGATGAAGAAAGCAAAGTGGCTGGCACAAAGCCAAGCCTGTGATCTCAGTAGGACAACTCCTCTAGGATAAGAATGCCCCTATGTTTCAACAGGGCCAATCAAGTGCTTCAAAGTAAATAACAGGGGTTTAAAATCGTTCAAATCAAAAGCCCTGGAGCTGAAAACAAGTAGGTCCCCAAGTCCCCAGTCACATTTGTATAAAGAAAAGGTACTAGAATAAAGCACTCTCTTTAACAGAATTGACTTTTCTGCTGAAGACAATACACAGCTTAACAGGTCCACATTCACAATTTTGGTTTCTGTGGGGAGGTAGTAGCTTGAAGATTTCTTTTTTCCACTTGGGGACATGCAAAGTGTACTGCGTGTTTAGGTGAAATGAAAGTCTTTGGCTTATGTGAGAGCAATAGAAAATTACTAGTATCCACTAATCCCAACATAAACACAGATTCGATCAACTGCATTTCCCAAAGGTAACATCTCCAAGGCTAGCTGATCGGTTGCAAAAAGGATTCCTGTTAGATAACATGATTGGATTTGTTTTCTTGGGTTTATTTTCCCAAGGAAACCCTTTTTGTTTCTTACTTCCAGTAAGTGGTGGGATCTTGAGGGCACACATTCTAAAAAAACAGGTAGGTCGGGTGTGGTGGCTCACACTTGTAATCCCAGCACTTTGAGAGGCCAGGGTGAACAGATTGCTTGAGATCAGGAGTTTGAGACCTGGGCTATGTGTGAAGACCTTGTCTCTACAAAAAATAGAAAAAGTTAGCCGGGCATGGTGGTGCACACCTGTAGTCCTAGCTGCTCGGGAGGCTGAGGTGGAAGGATCCCTTGAGCCCTAGGAGTTTGAGGCTGCTGCGAGCCATGATTGTTGTGGTTGTGTCACTGCACTCCAGCCTAGGCAACAGAGTGAGAACCCAACTCAAAAAATAAAAATTAAATTAAAAACGAATCATACTTTCCTTCTAGTCTGTTAGTTGGGTGGTAAAGATGTGGAGAGAAAATTGGAAATATCACTTAGCCTGATATGTAAGGAGAAATGGCCATAATGTCAATTAAACCCCCAACTGTCAAACCGTTGGTGGGAAGAAAGGAAATTATTTTTAAGTGCTTACGTTTATTTTGTTTAGTCTTCCCAAGTACCCTGCAAAGCAAGCATCAGCATTCTTAATTTAGGGCTGAACAGACTAAGGCCCTGTGAAGGATGAATCTTGTCTGAGCCTCTGTGGTTGACAGAAGCCAATCCGGGACCCGAACCCAGTTTTTTCTGACTCGCATGACCATGCTCGTGTCCAGCGGCTACATTGGGAAACTGTAGGGCCAGTAAACTAGAATGTGTTGGATTCCTTTCCCCATATTTGTTTTATGAGTCATTCCTCCTTTTGGGTGGTGGTGGAATGCTGAGACAGTTGCATGGGGACCATTTCTCAGATGTCTGTGTAGTTAAATCACATCCCCTGCACACCCACACAAGGGCTGTCATAGGAACCAACAGAAGTTCCCAATTACAAGCTGGTCTGTGGTTCCATAATTACTGTGGTATATTCAACTATTGCGTTTATTGCCTGTCTATTTCATCCTGTGTCCCCAGGGACCCAGTTTCACGTTTTGCAGACAGTAGGCACTTAGTAGGTGCCTGTTGGGTGAAAATGCATCAGTGATGATATATATTGAGAAATATACTTTGTGCTCAGGAATGTGGGGGATAATTAACTTGTAAATTGACTGAGGTTTTCAGCAAGGCTGAAGAATGCCTCTATATGCCTGTGACCCTGAATCTTAAACCTGGGGTGTTTGTAAAATCTGTCTAAACCATCCTAGGAATCTTGACCAGGTGAAGAAAGAGGCTGTGAATAGGAGAAGAAGGCAAGGAACAGAGAGTGCAGGAGACACAAATGAGCAGACATAAGAAAGAGGCATCAATGTGTGGTCTACAGTGGTTAGGAAGAAGAAGAGCGAACTTGACTTTGACACATTTTTTCAGAGCCACATAAATCAAGAAGGAAATGGTGTCTGGGCATTTCATTAATTGAATATGCTTAGGACACATTTCTGTCATAGTTATAACAGTTTTAACTCCAACCTGACTTTTTCCATCCTGGGTAATTGGTAGAGATGGAGCAGCACTTGCCTCCTATGACTCTGCAGCACTAAGTTCACCAATCATGATATGCAAATATATACAGATGTAACCTCCCACTCTACCCAAGCTGAGGATGGTGGGTTAGAGCAGGTCTATGAGTCTCTAGGCAAGAGAGCACAGTCTCCATAGTGGTTTTGGCTAACGGAAGCATGTGATTGAGTAGAGGTCATGGGCAGGATAGGAGGGTTGTTAGTGGTAAAGATAGAAATTCGGGATAGGTGATCTGTGATCCTGAGGTAAGGAAATGCATTGAAAAAAAGGTGTCACTTGCAACCCATGTCAATTACTCAAAATTATATTGTCAAATCTGTCCACCTTCATGGGCATAGATATTAATATACATGAGTGGTACTTGATGTGTGTGTGTTTCCAATCACATAAGTAGTACATACTTACTAGATAATTTGAAGAAAAAACCCTAACCATATGAAAAAGGAGAAAAAAAATTTCCACCACTCAAAAATTGCTATGCTTCATATTGCATTGTTTTTTCTATACAGTTATTTCATAAGCTCAGTTTTTATATATGTGATTATTCTATTTGTACCTCTCTGTAACCTACTTTTTTCATGATATGCAAATGTAAGTATTTTCTGTTATGATGTTGTATTTCCATAAACATCATTTTAGTGCTTAGGTAACATGCCAATGTGCAAATGTGCTAAGAACAGAAGATTCAGACACACGTTTCATGATGTGCATGACTGAGAGTCAGGATTGAACTTGTAGGATGCCTCAGTGCAAGGGAGAGTCAAGCGTATTGTCTAGAGGGAAGTTGATTACCCTGCATGAATTGTTTAAAGACCTTTTGCTATCAATCAGATAGACCAGTGCTCTCTTCCTTTTTAAAGGTATTTCCAGTTTGTGTGGGTGTCCTCTGAATATGATTTGTTCAGACGAATGAGGCAGGGTGACTGGGGCAAAGCAACAAGTATAACCTTGACAGATTATAACACAGCCTTTGAGATAGCAATGCTTTCTACATTTTAATAGGGCTTCTTTCCTGATTAAGGCCATTGCTTTGTAAAAGTGTCACCTTTTACACTTCATGTCATGTAAGTAGGTAGGGAAAATGTTATGAATGAGCTCTCGTGTCACATTTGGCTCCATCAAGAGAAGTTAAGTCCAGGGACTCAGACATGGGGTAGAACCCAGGTCTCCTGATTCTTAGCTGAGGAATTTTCTAGATGCCTTCTCTTCTTCCCTTGGGTTTCAAGCCTCTGTAATTATAGGATGAAGCAAAACCCTGCTTCACCTGAGAATTTTACATCCTCCTCTCTTTCATTTTCCGGTAAGTTTTTGCGATTCAGTTGAGATCAGGTGACTAAACTCTGGTCTAAAGAGGGTGTGTATATTATAAACTATTAAAAATAAGAGTTGGTAACTCTTACCTGGTTTACAGGAGTGCAAATACCACCTCATTTAGAGAAATGACATGAAGATTAATTTAACCACTAGTATAAAGCATTTAGGATAGCGCCTAGAAAATAATAATTACTCAGTAGATGTTAGCTGCTGTCATGATAACTGCTATAATTAAGAACACTTTCTACTTTTGCTATCATAAACTCACCGCATGTCCTTGGAAAATCTACTTCCCCTCTTTAATCCTCAATTTCCCATCTGAAAAATAGTGGAAGAGCATAGCTAGTGATGTTGAACAAACCTTCCAGTACTAACATTCTGTCATCTTGGACTTTTCTTTACAGCAATTCAACCAACGAAGGAATGAATGTTAAAAAATGCTGCAAGGGGTTCTGCATTGATATTCTGAAGAAACTTTCCAGAACTGTGAAGTTTACCTACGACCTCTACCTGGTGACCAATGGGAAACATGGCAAAAAAGTTAACAATGTGTGGAATGGAATGATCGGTGAAGTGAGTTACCTTTTCTTTTCTTTTCTTTTTCTTTTTTTTTTTGAGCTGGAGTCTCACTCTGTCGCCCAGACTGGAGTGCAGTGGCCACTCCCGGCCACCGCAGCCTCGACCTGCTGGGCTCCAGCAATCCTTTCGCTTCAACCTTCCAAGTAGCTGGAACTACAGGTGCACGCTACCACACCCGGTTAATTTTTTGTTTTATTGTAGAGATGAGGTCTCACCAAGTTGCCCAGGTGGGTCTCGAACCCGCGGGCTCAGGCAATCCACTCACCTCAGCCTCCCAAGGTGCGGGATTACAGGCTGAGCCACTGAGCCCGGCTGAGTTACCTTTTCATCCCCCCAGGTCTCCTTCAGACTCAGGGTGTAGGGCTCTCAAGGATGTTGGCGGGAAAAGTAAAGGTGATATTTTTATTGTCTGTGCATCCAGGTGGTCTATCAACGAGCAGTCATGGCAGTTGGCTCCCTCACCATCAATGAGGAACGTTCTGAAGTGGTGGACTTCTCCGTGCCCTTTGTGGAGACTGGAATCAGTGTCATGGTTTCAAGAAGCAATGGCACCGTCTCACCTTCTGCTTTTCTAGGTGTGTGAACTTTATAGTGACTATTGCTTTCCTTCAAAGACCTGTAGGTATCTTGTTTGCTCACAGGATGAGACCAGGCAGGACCTTATTCAGTTTTATTTGACCTCATCAGTGTATTTCAGAGCACACTGCATTTGAATTGCCCCCCACCCCACCCCACAGTTCACATCTTTCATTTATCTTCAACTTGAAAATATCTACTGAAAAAAAATACTATCACATATTCAGATACTGGTCTTGACTCTGTAGGATATAAATTAATAGATATATTGCTTTGAGCCTTGAAAACATTTTAAAAATAAATCTGTCTGTCCACAGTTACTTTAAATCAGCCCATAAATCTTTATTTGTCATCCATATACCCATCCTCCATCCCACATAGAATGAGAGTCATTTATTTGCTAGGTGTAAGAGTGAAAATAATGATGACTGCACAATGATTTATGCCAGTATTCTGATAAAAAAAATAGAAGTAGTCAGAAGAGTATAAACTGATTTAAAATTAATGGAATCATATTTTAAATGCGGCAATCCATTAAGCCAAATAGTTTGTAAAGCAGGCAATTCTTTTGACACATTTTGACCACTGCATAAATTTGTGTTGTTACATAAGAGGTAATTTTTTTAAATAAAGGAAGAGTTATATTTTCTATCATCTGGTTTTCTTTAGCACTGTAGCTGTGTATACATTAGGCAATCTGGCTAGAGTAGTAGAAACTTCATGGAACATAGCCAGGCACTATTAATTTTTGTCTTTAAAAGGAAGTGTTGTATTGACTGTCTGGTTATCAAAATGATTTTTCAATAGCAGCCATCTTGTTAAAGATCATGGAATTCAGGTGATTAATTCCCTCTTGGCATTCCTAAAGAAGTGAATTTGTCCCAAATTTGGGAAAGTTAAAACTAGCCTTAATCTCTAGCAGGAAACTGAATGAGAGAAGGAAAACGATCACATTAGGGTCAATTAAATTTCTTTTATTTTTCCAGAGGCAAAAAACACTTCATCTATTAAAGAAAATTGCAAATTAGAATCAATCTGTGGACACCAGTTCCCAGTCCGTAGCCTTATGCTTCCACTGTCTTCATTTATACGTAATGTCCTTCATCATCTTGTTACACATGTAGGCTTCATTCTCTTGAGTGAAATGTTGGCTAACAGGATTTTGGATACTGCCTAACTTACAGAGGCATATGGATTTACTGTTTTCATTTTTGATAATCTATTTAAGCTGCTGAAATCCTTGCCACTCGCTGGATTTGATTTTGTGCTCATTGCTTCAATTTTTATAACCTTTGTTGGAGTGATATAGACTTGACAAATGCATACCTCATTAAGTTTCTTTGTCTGACATGGATTCAGATACTCATATCGTAATCAGGAAGCCCTCCTCATAGTAGGAAAAAAATCAACCAAATGATATTGGCAACACATACAGACTCTTACTAATTACTGGATTGTTAAGTCACTCCTAGTAATTTTTTCTGCATTCCCTATGAGACTCTTTGGCAGGAATCTTTTGCTCTGGAGCTTAAGAAAGGATTGAAGGAAGGGAGTTCATAGAACAACATGGGAAGAAATTTGTTTCTTTTTACAGATTGTCCTGTATCTCCTTAGTAAGCTAGAGAGAACGTTTTTCCAGTTCAATCACAGAGAAGAAAAATATCCATTGACTTGTCTCATAAAAATGGGTCGCTGATATTGAATCTGACCTCAACCCAGTTTCCCTAGAGCTTAATCTTACCTGCATCTGTAGAACATTTCCATAAAAAGTCAAGTATTTTGCTAAATTTAGAAAAGTTTCTTTTTCCCTATACTTTTCCTACTGCATCTTTAAAAATAAAATGAAATAAATTGTAGCTAGAGGAAACAATTTTCAAAGCTGTTTTTATACAGTAGGCTTAATATTTTTGCTAGTGACTAAATTACATCCCTATTCGATTGACTGTGTACCTCCCTATTTACGGTCATTATCTGCAGGTTTTGAAAGTCATAATGAACCATGCTAAGCTACATTTTTCCGTTCACTGGTTCAGTCATCTGGAAGAGCCAAAACATTCAAAATCTGATTGCATTGCTCTTCATTATTTCCTATTCTCTCTCCTCCGCAAACTCCATTAACTCAAATCGGAAACACTTGCAGGTAATGCCTGAGCTTTTGTGTAAAATTGTAACCAGTGGTTCTTCAAGGACAGAGTCTCTTGTAATGTTTCCATCTAGTTAATTCTAGGGACTTTTCAAGCAAGTGTGATTCTTTGATCCAAAGAAACACTGACCTTGCGTCTCCTAGATTGCAGTTTTCTCATGGACAAATGTTGAATCTGTTTTCCAGCCATTAGGGGATATAATTTAGAGCTATTTAAACATATTTATGGGTCACTGTAGACATCATTATAGGGTTTTTCTTTGTTGTGTGTGTGTGTGCATGGACAATTACTCACATGTCCAGTGTCTGAGAATAGCAATCCTTCCGTGTACTCATAAGTACTTACCCAAAAACCAGAACACCACAGCAGAATCCTTTTATCTCTGTGCCATGCTCACAAGTCAAAGGACAGGTGTGGTCACTTCCAAGTGAGACAACATCTGGGGGTCAGTTGCTTGATCAACATCCACCTAACTTTCTGACTAGTGTCTTAGTGTCTAGGATACACCTGCCAAATGAAATCCACTGCAGGTTTACAGATTCTGACATGTGAATAGGATAATTCATAAAGATGTCCTCTAATTTTATTTATTTATTTTTATTTTTTATTTTATTTTATTTTATTTTGAGTTGGAGTCTCACTCCCTTGCCCAGACTGGAGTGCCGTGGCTGCTCCCGGCCACCGCAGCCTCGCCTGCTGGGCTCTGGCAATCCTTCCGCCTCAGCCTTCCAAGTAGCCGGAATTACAGGCATGGGCTACCACGCCTGGCTGATTTTTTGATTTATTGTAGTGATGAAGTCTCACTGCCCAGGCGGGTCTCGAACCCACGGGTTCAGGCAATCCACTCACCTCAGCCTCCCAAAGGCGCGGGATTACAGGCTGAGCCACCGAGTCCAGCTATGGGCCCTAATTTTAAAAAATAATGTTATCACAGCATGTAAAGAAATGGAAGTTATCAGAGTAAACAGTGTACTTTTAAAAACTCGGGTGCCCTTTTCAGTACTACGGACAACACAAAATTCCTCTCATTGCTGGCTTTAATCTGGAATGAAACAGCAATTCCAGTTGATATATTGAGTGTCTATAGTGTGTGAGGCACACTGACAAGTGCTTTTCGTGTCCATGCTCATTTACTCATCATGATGAGTTTCCTGTGTTAACACACACCATGGAATCCATGTTACTTGACTTGGAGAATTTCTTTATCTCTATTCTTGAATTTAAGTAATTTTTCATCTCTTAATTATTTATTTATTTTTTCGCCAGTTTGGATACATCACATTGTCAAGTTACTATGATTTCAGGGCCACGATATTGGTTATTACTCAAGCTAAATTTAACTCAGATAAATTTTAATTACAGTCTCATTGATTTCTTGGAGCTGATCTTGTGTTATTTAAATTGAGCAAGTCGTTTTGTTACCTGCTGCTTTTTAACATATGTGCGCTATCGTATTGCATTGCAAAGCATTTCTTTCGGTTTTTGAACCATCCAATATAGTTAAGGTTAAGTTCAGACATATTAGTTCCTTGCTATACATTAAACTCATTACATTGGAATTTGTTATTAACTCTAGCTATGTTATGCAGTCACAGGCTCTAATAAATAGCCAGTCTGCTATCGGCCTAATTCTTTATTATTATCAGCTTCACTAGATAAACAATTTAAAAATAATATGTTTACTATTCAAGAGCTATTATTGGACTGATTTTACCCTCAGAAAATGTTTGCTTTTGAGGTAAAGGACTTTACATTTACTGGTGTCCATGGGCAGTTTCTTCACAATGATGCATATAGGTGGAGATGTATTCATTTTTAAAGCTTATTCTCTGTAGATTTTCTAGTGAGTCTGTATAATAAATGATAAAATGGCTTCAATGAACTAATTTTCATACCCTCCATCAATGTGAATAGAAAAGATCATTTATTTTACATAATATCTCTTTCCCTTCTAGAGTGTTTTAAGGTTTGGAACATTGTGACTTGACTTGCCTTCTGAGACATCTCTCTACTGTCTAAGTTACATGTAAATGAACTGATGAAAACTACTTTTAGAGGAAATAACCATCCATCCATCCACTACTCTCTTGCCTCTGCTCTTTAAGTGATGATTTTCTTATTGAGTTATCATATGAGTGTAATATCCTCAATTGACTTTCAATTGCATTTAAGTCCATTACCAACATCAACAAGATTAATAAAACTGTAGAGATCTCATTTGTCTGAAGCAGAAGGTAAAATAGAGAGTATGGTAGTGATGGTGGCAGATTACGACCTTCCAATATTTCTGTCAGCTCCACAATTCTATCATCCTTTTCCAACAGGTTATAATTCTCCCTTTCCTTCTGGAATTCCCTGCACACCACCCATCCCTCCATATGTCAAAATAAAAATGAAAATACAGGCAACCCCTCAGGTCCCCTTCCACCCTGGGAGCTTTTCTGTTCTCTCAATAAATCCTGCTTTAAAAAAAATAAGAATGCAAATAGGAACCATATTTATTTGCAGGAGTATATAGTTAACTGTTTGAGTCTGGTCTTTTTTCTCCATAGCTTTAGTTCCCTGGATTGTTCTATAATTATATAGGACCTTTTGGCGTGTTTGTCTACATTCTAACTTTCTCCCTTGGTCTCAACATTCTTTTTGTTTTTATTATCCGTGACCTAATTTATGCATGTTCTTCTTTATTTTTATTGTCTTATATGCAACCCTATAAAATACCTCAAAGATTTTATAGACTAAAGAATAGTTTAAATGTACGGAGAAAAATGACTCATTTCTTTTGAACGATCGGATTCATATTATATACAGTTTTGGGGGAGCCTACAGCCAGATTCTGGGCTTCCTGCTGGAAGTGAGAAAGAGGTAACTGACCAAGTTTCCACTCCTCCGGTCTATTTGCAGAACCATTCAGCGCCTCCGTCTGGGTGATGATGTTTGTGATGCTGCTCATTGTTTCTGCCATTGCTGTTTTTGTCTTTGAATACTTCAGCCCTGTTGGATACAACAGAAACCTAGCCAAAGGGAAAGGTAAGAATGTCTCTGTGAGAACGATTCAAAATGAGTGCTATTTCATTTACCGCCAACGAAGTTTTCAGTTTTAGAACACATCACCCTTTTTTGCCTTTATATACCAGCATGCAAATGTATCGGGTCATTGGTATTACTTGTACTGCCAGACATGTATTGACTATTCACTTCAGTGGGAAGAAAAGGGTAAAACAAAATGAAACATTTTAATCTTGTTATCATGTGAAGTAATACTTGTTAGGTAAAAACCACTGATATTGAACTTTTAAAGAAAGATTTGAAGAAGGCTTTTTTGGGGGCAATTAATTTTAAAAATGTGTGTCAAAAGAAATACTAAAATTGTAGTAAGTCTCAACCAGTCTATGCAAAGAAAACAGCTTTATAGAGTCCAGTTTCAGAACATTTTTCAAGCTACTGAATCAATTTGCATTAAACAATAAATATAACTATAAAAATGTTATCTTTCCCCAAAGAGTTACATTTTTTTCTTGACAGTACCTGATCTTGGTGTGTTGTACTTGATAAAGGGACCATCAGTAGATAGAAAACTGAATTGGGAGGCACTGGCTATAATTCCTGCTTAGTTTCTGAGCTCCAGGGCAGATCTTGTGCCTTGGGGCTTTTGTGGACCTGGATGGCTATAACTTCTTAAGAGGCTCCCAGTCTAGCCTCATGTACACAAACACATTGTATCATTTCAAGTGGGTTTCTCTCAGTGCACAACTCCTTCTAAGTGGATGTTGTCAGAAAGGTGCCAGGACCGAGTGTCTTTCCCAAGAAACAACTTGATATGGTGGAGAATAGGGAACCTTGAGGTCTCAAATGCCTTCTAAAACAGGGCACTTTAATTTCATATATCTTATTTTCACATGACTGTCTTAATATTGGAAACAGTTAACAGGTCTTGGGGCTCTATGAGAAACTTAGTTTTGTTGAAATCCTCCAACTCTTAATCACTAAAGTGTGGTGATTACTACATAAACCTTCTCCAATCAACCAAATGGTAAAAATGGCATAAATACCATGTAGTGTTTAATGGGAAATTGCAAGCCTTCACTAAAAGGGTCATTTAACCATTAAAGAGCTTTCCAACAGAGCAGAGCCTGAGACCATTTTTGTGAGTTATCTCACTGTGGTAGAGGACATCTTTACCTTTGCCTAATCAGAGCTTGTGCTGCTGTGAATGTTACACATTTATTTGATAAATGTTTAGACTGAGTGTGTATTATGTGCCAGGCACTATACTGGTGCCAGAGATAATGTGGTATATCAGATAGAGGCTTCTTTACTCTCAAGGAGGCTAGACTTTACCTGTGGATATAATGTCAACACACAAATTAATCACCACAGATTGTCATAAATATCCAGAAGAAGAAAAAAAACAGTGAATGATGGCGATGGGCCAGGGGCACTACTTTAGACAGGATGGTCCAATAGGAAAGGAAGTTTATTGTACCAAGACCTGAGGGATAAGGATTCAGCCCCGTGAAAAAACAGACCCAGTCACGCTCTGTAGGAGGAACAGCACATACAAAGGCCTTGAGGTGAAATTAATCTTGCTTTGTTCAAGAAACAGAAAAAAATGTGAGTGCAGTAGACAGTAGTGTAAGATGGAAGCTGAGACAGGCAGTTGGCCACGGTAAGCACTTCAGATTTTCTTCAGGGGAAAAGGAATGACACACATGTACAATGTGAAAATACTACTGAGGCTACTCTCAGGGCAAAGGGAGGAGACAGCAGCAGTGGAAGGACTATTAAGAAGATGTCAGTTTTCCAAGGGAAAGGATGACAGTGGTTTGGAATTAGACATGAGCGATGAAGATACAGATATATCTCAGAGGACAAAAGTGACCCAAAGGCCATCATGTGCAGCGATGTCTCCCTTGACTGAAGCGTGCACTAGAACTGTTGTAAAGAAAAGCATCAAGCACGCCAACTCCACAGACCTTCCATTTTATCTTGGTTCCCTGTTTCCTGCCCACCTGTATGTGGCAACTTTCAGGAAATGATAATTACTTGTTTCTTTGTGCAAAATGGTTTTCTGTTACATTTCACTGCGCATTATGGAGAAAGTTATACAGCCCGGTAATAGTATTCATGAATCAAGGATTCCCAAAAGTCTTGGACAGATCCTTTGCAATGGCCTATTTCTGATTCCCAAATAGCTGTCACTTCTGATCAACATGCATCTCTAATAAAATTAAGTAGTTCATAAAGTTAACTCTAATTGTTCTTTTCCCCTAAGAGTTCCCAGCTTCTTGGGAATAAGCCCAGAAGATCATAAAACTAGGCAAAGAGAAACAGGAAAGACTTAGAATAATAGAATGAAGGGCCTCCTCTCTGATGTGTTGTATTATGAATATTACAAGTATTGCTGCAGCCTGAGTCTGGCCTCCAGTGTGCGGGAAGCTTGCTTTTCCTAGGCTGCCTGCCCAGAACGTCATCGCTTCCATTAATTTGAATTCACTTCTGCCATTTTATTTATTGCCCACTCTGCCTGCTTTGCCAGCTGACGTCTGAGTAGATCATTCTTTTCATATCTTCATTTGCTTAAATGACATAAAAATTAACTTCCTGTTAAAGGAAGATCCTTTTCCGTATGAAATGAGGGTATAAATTGGTTTTATCCCCTGTACAAAACAAAGATTTGAAAACTCTAACATGTGTGTTTTACAGCTTGCATATGCCCCGTCCCGATAAATGTTAGCATATTGTTCTGCCTCTTTAGTTAAGTCTGTTGCAAGGAATATTTAAGAATCTCAAAAGGAGCACATAGAAGTTGCAACGATACACTGAGGGAGAAAAGGGGCTGTGATATGATGTCAGTGTTCATTTTCCATGACCCTGCAATGAAATGTCTTCCATCTGTGAAGTGTTGGAAGAATTAAACTCATTGTTTCATTTCTTAATGTCTCCATTTGGAGAGGGTTTCAGTTTGGTTTAATTCCTACATTGTACACACTTTGCATCTGAGTTTGAACAGGAGCAATTGCTAGGGAAAATCGGATTAGAATAGCAAACATCCGTCCCACTGAGTTGCATGGTTCTTATACGATGGCACATCCGATGAATTCTGAAACAGCCCCCGTGCACGCATTTTTGTTTGGCTCCCTTTATGTTTATTAAGAAGATTGGTTCCCCCAAATGGGAATCAAATCCAAATTTAAAATGAGTCATGACACTACTTCTTATTCAAACCCCCATTTTGTATAACCATTTTCTTTCTCTCTTTTTAAAGAAATGTGGTAAAAATTCACTTAGAAATGTAGGAAGAACGCTAATTTTTAAAGAAAAAAGAAGTTATTGTGGCTGTGGTTCTGGGCCAAAGACAGGACACAATTATGTTATAATTCCATCTTCTAACAACCTTCAATGTTGCTGGTGGCCACCGCATAGTTGCCACACGTGCATGAGTATGCATTTTGAGAAAATGCTGAGACTGTCCCTTCTGTCACTTCCAGCACCCCATGGGCCTTCTTTTACCATCGGAAAAGCTATATGGCTCCTTTGGGGCCTGGTGTTCAACAACTCTGTGCCTGTCCAGAATCCTAAAGGAACCACCAGCAAGATCATGGTGTCCGTATGGGCCTTCTTTGCCGTCATATTTCTGGCCAGCTACACAGCCAATCTGGCTGCTTTCATGATCCAGGAGGAATTTGTGGACCAAGTGACTGGCCTCAGTGACAAAAAGGTAAGGTTGCCTTCATTTCTATATGAGAGTTGCTCTCGACCGCTCTTCCTTCAGAGTCGAGTGATTCAGGCACCTCTCATTCAGACTCATAACTCCAAAGTACAAAGCCAGAAGATATTCTTTTCTTAGCTCAAATTGGCATATCTCTAACAATTTTAGGAACAGAACCTTAAGCTTAGCTCTCCGATGTCTAAAAGACGTTGGATCTCATTTTTGAAAGGACAGTTTCTCCAAATGGCCATTTCTCCTACTTATATGATCATGTTGATGCTGCTGGCTGAGGGTCTGTGACTCAAGGGCACACTATAGCTTGGGTTGAAATCCATCCTTTCAAGGAGGATGTAATGTTGGGGAAGGTCTGGACGAAGAGAAACCTGTACGAAGGAATGCTGTCGGCTGTGGGTACCTCCTGCTCTGTGACCTTGAATGAGTCTCTTAGACACTTTGTGCCTTGGATTCTCCATCTGTGGCATGAAAAAAGTCATCTCCAAACCCTACCCGGAGACAAAATTGACTGATGATTCCTCTTTACTGTATAGTCAAATCAGCCTCATCATCAGCACTTCTGACTCACCTGGAAGTTTTTCAAGGCACATACACACAAGGCAGAGAGTTTTTCTTTTTTAATTTTCCACTGGTTCCTTCTACTTAGAAACATCTCCGATCTTCCCTCATGAGGCTGTGCTTCCCACATCAGGAAGACGGAGGCAATAACACCTGCTTTTTCCATTCTCCACCAAAATGTAGCAAGGGTTGTGGGCTTTGAGTGTCTATTCAGAAATGCAAATCGAGGAAGAAAAGAGGTAAACTGGGTGCCTCCTCCTGTTGAAATTTTGGCACAGGAAACCAATCCTGACATGCTAAGCTCAGCAGTGTTGAGATTGCAGCACTGAAGAGAATTTCTGTTTTGTGTGTGGGTTGATAATTTGTCTCTCTTTATAAAAAACCTCACTATCGTATCTTGTTGACATAAGTCTACATATATCTTTTTGGCATTCATCAACAAACTGCTGAATAGAGAATCAGCCCACAAAAAGCCTTTTCAGCTTATCCATGACATGCACAGTGGTTGAAAGAGTCTTGTCAAGAGAGATGAAGAGTTGGGGCTGAAGACGGAATCACTTCCACAAAGGTGCCATGTGAACGGTTGGCCTCTCTGATGGCTTCTCACTGAAGCTTGAGTTAGGGTCACTCAACCTACCACAGGGCACAGAGCTCTGTATCATCGAACCTACTCCCATATGATTCCTTCTTCATCCTCCGTGAGGTCCCTTCCCTGTTTTTTAAACATTTAAGTTTATTTCCACCCCAGTGTCCTTGTGCTTCCTTTGTCCTCTGCCTTGAATGTTCTTCGCCCAATCTTTTCATGGCTGGCACCTCCTTGAATTTCAGATCTTAGGGAAAACACCACCTCCTCAGAGAAGTCTTTTCTGGCTACTGTGGTAAATTTGGCAGAATGAGTTCAGGTTCCCAGGAAACTTAAATTCTCGTAGAAAGAAATAAACAATACACAAGTAAACATTAAGGAAAAAGCAAATTTTGATCAGGAATGAGTATTATAAAGGAGTTAAGACTGATGAGTCTAAGACTTGTTTGGGGGAGAGGACCCGAGGGATGTGTTTTTGATAGAGTTATCCTGCGCTTAGAATGTGCCCAGTATCTGCTTGCTGGTTGACTGAATACATGCATGGTAGGTTGAACACTGTAGACACGCCACCTGGTTCTCCCTGGACCCCCTTTTCCAGCAAAATTCTTGGAGTAAATAAGCTATGTGCCCCGTCCCACTTTTGGATGCTTTGCTGACAAAGGCGCAAACCAGGACTCTTCAGAGGATGTTTGCCTTTGGACACTAGAATGGTAAATGCCTGGGAATTTATTTATTTATTTGTTTTATTTTTATTTTATTTTTTGAGTTGAAGTCTCACTCTGTCACCCAGACTGGAGTGCAGTGGTCACTCCCAGCTACCACAGCCTCGACCTGCTGGGCTCCGGCGATTCTTCCCCCTCAGCCTTCCAAGTAGCTGGAACTACAGGTGTGCGCTACCACGCCCAGCTAATTTTTTAATTTATTGTAGAGATGAGGTCTCGCCAAGTTGCCCAGGCGGGTCTCGAACCCGCGGGCTCAGGCAATCCACTCACCTCAGCCTCCCAAGGCGCAGGATTACAGGCTGAGCCACCGAGCTGGCTTGCCTGGGAATTTAAATCCCCCAGTTCTTGTGGTCACTTGTAACCAATGACTAACTAGAGTAAGATACAAAAGCTCAGCTGCTCCCTTGCTTATAAGCAGGACAAACTGGGGTTACTGTCAACCCTCTGGATCTCCCCCACAAGACCAGGCCGAGATAAAGAATTGGCCTGAAATCAGACTCTTGGTTGGTTTCTTTCCCTTCTCTAATCTTTCCTCACCTTTCCCAACCCCCTCACTGATTTCTCTTGAAACCCTTCACTAATAAATCATGTTCCTTCAAATCCTTGACTCGAGGTTGGGCTTCTGGCAGGCTCCCACCTAAAGCACAGAGCGTCAGACAGGCAACAGAGAAAGCCCTGCATTTAGAGTCAAAAGAGTTGTGTCCTGTTTCCTCACTGCCACTTCCTAGCTGTGTGATGTTTTTCAAGTCGTGTAACCTTCCTGAACTGGCTTGTTCTTCTCTGTAAATTTAGGAATCTAAATTGTAGTGAGGATGAAAGGAAACTGCATATGTAAATGTGCCTGGTAGACTGTAAATCCCTCTGCAGACATGAAAAGCGAAAAACACCATTAGGTGACTCCATTGCGGCATTATGGGATCAAAGTGCAATTTCCTAGAAGTGATTGGAAGTATGTTGGAAGCCGTGGGGAGCCATGTCCTGCATGAGAGGATTTTTCAAGAAAGTAGTTGGCAGGTTTTGGGGGTTTTTTAAATTTTTTGATGCTATTTTCAAAGACGAGGGGAGAAGATTTTTTTCTACATAGTTTTGGGTCTAAATAACATGACCACTTGTGGGAAAACTAATTTAAAAAGCTAATAATATGGCTGACCTTCGCTGACTTGGAAACACCCAGTAACAGATACCAAATCTCGTGAGACACAGCTCAGTTTCTATGCTTAGAGCATTAGAGGCAAGCTGATAGCTCTTTTAATTGAATGTGTGATACAGTGAGATAAACAGCAAAATTCTTGGAGTAAATAGGCTAAATGTTCCCAGAAGATTAATAGCAGATACACCATGAAAGTCTGCAAAATAAACAAAACTATATTGAGTCAATTTATTTTAATACTGTACACAGGTTGTTTTTGTTTTTGTTTCTTGTTTTAAATCATGAAAACCTGTGTAGCAATTCAGGTTGACGATACTTTTAATCCACTAGTGCTTACTGAGGAAGAAGCATATTTGGAACCTATGGTGTGCTGAGCTGAGCTGGGGCTTAAGTTCTAAATAGGTGAATTCATGGGTAGATACTTCCCATGAAATGAGAAACCAACCAAGGGTCTGATTTCACAGGTAGATACTTCCTTAATAATTCCTTAAGAATTATTAAGGGAAAAATGGAATGTTGATGGGGAAGTTTTCCAGAATGGTGGGAATCACTGTGTTAGAGGAAATCCGTCACCGGGTGGCAGATTTATGAAGGGAAAAGAGTAATACTGTGCTTGGGGTCAAATGGACCTGGGTTCAAATCCTGACCTCGCCATGTAATGATTGTGTGGTTTTTCAAATGTCAGTATCCCCAAGGCTTAATTTCCTATTAGGGGGAAAGCATTTTCTTTCTGATAAGGTTGATTTGAGGATTAGAAGTAACACTCACACCATGCCTGGCACACAGAAGATGATCCTGTGATGTGTTACTATTTCCTTCTCCCACCTTCCTCTTTTCCATCTCCCTCTCTTTCTCTTCATCTCCCTCCTTGTCCTCCTCCTCCTCATCACCACCACCTGATTCAGACTATTCTTTGCTCTGCGGCCTGAAATGGTATTGCACTGAGTGGTAAACCAATGGGGCAGGGCAGGGGGTTAGGAATTCAGGGAACTTCCCTCTGCGGATGAGCCCACAGAATGTGTTCTCAAGGGGTCTGTACTGTCTCTGGGCACTGGGATTACACTGCTGGTCCCAGTCCAGGCAGGCAGGCCTGAGCTGATCCTCCCTCAGCTCAAGGGCACACCTGCGTGATGCTCATATTAAGAAGCACGTGGGGTTTCACCAACAGAAGACTGTACTAGAAATAGGGGCTCTAGTTGCCAGATGTCCCTTATTTACAGACACAGATGACAGATATTTTTAATAAGTGCGTAGTTTGGGGTTCATAAGAAAAATGAAGAAAATGTCTTGGTGTGTTGCAGCATTTTTTTTTCCCCTTAAATGTTTATTTCCAAATGCTGCCTCTTTTCCTTCTCCATCATAAAATGCTTGGATGCTAGTCACTTGGATAACCTTCATTCAGGCATTCAGACATTTCTCCATATTGAATGGGGACAAAACAGAAAATAATCTTCTGTTCTTTAAACTGTAGAGAGACCGACACCATCATATGACTGAAGTGACTATGGGTAACAACAGGTGATACAGACCAAGCATTAGAAGTTGCCAGGTGTCCTTTCACGCACTTCAAGACTAGCTGCAAAAGAAATCCCAAATTTACAGTTAGAGAAACTGAGGCTCAGAGAGATAAGTGGCTGTCCAAATTATGCTGTTTCTATGTGGCAGTGCTGGCCCCTGGTTTTTCTAAGTCCAAAACCAGGTGAAGCTGTTTCACAAACACAGCAAGGGCAGCCTGAGGAGAAGCCAGCGGAGTTCCTCCAGTTCTGGACATTGGGATTACATTTCTCTGTGGACTTGCTGACAATGGGGACCTAAGCACCAATCCTTTCTTTGCTAAAGCCTATATTTATTTCTTTCTGCTTCCACGTGGAACTCTCTGGGAGAAAGTTGCACTGGGAATCATTCCTGTAGGAAACATGGAGTGTGCTCTTGGCGTGGACTCTGGGACTTAAGAGATGAGTCATCCTTGTCCCTTAACTGTTTTTCACACTGTAGGTCATGACTCTTTAGTGAGCCATGATATTAATTTAAGGTTGCAAACATTTTAAAAAAGCAAAATGGTGCAGTGGCTCATGCCTGTTGTAATCCCAGCATTTTGGGCGGCTGAGGCAAGAGGATTGATTGAGGCCAGGAGTTCAAGATCAGCCTGGGCAACATAGTGAGATCCCATCTTTACAAATAATAAAAAAACTAACTAGGCATAGTGGACCCTATGTCCAAAAAGAAAAAAAGAGAGAGAGAGAGAAAACATAATGGATAACACCAGCATATATCACAAGTAGCAAGAATGACTACTGTGAAGTTTCTCGTGTGTGTATTGGGTGGCAATGGAAAATATACTGTGAGCCGTGCCTTGAAAAATGTGACTGTCTTCAGTCTAGAGGGAAAGGTGCCTGAATCTTGGTGTCAGCCTGAATTTTGTGTGGGTGATGGTACTGTCGAGGCCAGAGAAGTGTGGAAATCATCATAGAGTCTGAATATCTATCTCTGTCGCTATGCAAACCAGAGGCAGGAAAGTAAGCAAACCTTTCAAGGGTTGTGCAGCTCTCCTGCAACAGATTGGGAGTGAAGTGGAAGGCATTTAGTCAAATAGGCCATCTCCGTTTGTCTCTGGAGATTGGGAATGGCTGCTACAACAGTCTAGATTTATGAACAGTGCTGTTACCTCTGTCCCCCAGAGCAGGTGGCTGCCGTGCAAATGAGCCGGGGCTTGGTCCTTTTTATGTTTTGGTGATAAGTTAAGGTGCTGCTTGGCAGAGTGACTGCAAAAAGCATTTTGTTGTTCACACACATACGCGTGCACGCACACACACACACACACACACACACACACACACATGCACATGAGCGTGCACGTGCACACACCCACACCCACATACACACACTCACACACTCCCAGGACAAGGTGCGCCCTAGTAGGAGAATCTCATTTGGACAATGGATGGCCTCTTCTCCCAAATCCAGTTATGGCTGTCTATCAAGCAGTGGCATGCCTAATTTAGGGGAAGTAACTTTTAAATAGAAATTTTAATTAATGGTAAATGAATTATGAATCTGGAAAAAAGAATGTTTCTAGGTGATCTGATGCCTGGGTAAATTTGGATACTTTCTGTGACAGTTTTTGGTTCCATGAAGGACACACTGATCTGAAAAGTCAGAAAGACCTCTGGAGTGTAGTCCTGGCTCACAAACATACCTGCTGGGTGTTTTTCCCTTCTTGGGGTCTCCAGGTCCTCATCTCTAAGCAAGGAGGGAGTCGTGGTGATGGTCTCATGAGGAACCACAGAGTTAAGACCTTAGCCTGTGGTCTGGCAGAGTTTGGTTTGAATTCTGGGTCACTACATGCCAGCAGTGTAGCCTTACAAAGGTCATACAACCTCTCTAAGCCTCAGTTTTCTCATCTGTAAGATGGAGCCTCTAAGATTAGCTATGTGACAGGGTTTTGTTAAGATTAAATGATCTCACAGCTGTAAAATTCTTGGCACAGTACTGGCCCAAACTAAGTCTTCAAAAAGTGTTAGTCGTTGTTATCATTACTTTCTCTTTCCACAATTCCATGTTTCTTAGAAAAAAGAGACTCAGTTTACTTTTTTGCTCACAATGATAACAAGAACAAAAAGTAATGACAGCTTTATTTCTGTGTGCTTCCTCTGATCCAGGCACTATTCCAATTACTTGACAAATGGTATATTTTTAGATCTTCATTGTGACCCTACAAGAGAGGTGCTGGTATGATCCCCACTCTGCAGATGGGAAATAAATGGAGGCAGCATGAAGTGAATGACTTGTTTAAGTTCTCACAATCTGTATGTGATAGACCCTGATTTTCCAATCAGCAAGTCAGAGCTCACGCTTGTAACCATTACCGTGCACTGCCCCTAGTGTTTAGCTGCATTTCTGGGGGCTTAGTTTCAGGTCTCTAGATTTCTAATCCAGTTGAGTCACCTGAAACATCAAAGCTGTGGGTTGACAGTGACAGCCAGTCCATCAGGGAAGACTCATGATACATGGACAACATGCCTTTATGGGGGCTCAGGAGCCAGGCAAGACCTGGCCATCCCCAGGAAGCTGATGGTCAGCAGGGACTTCAGCTTAGCAAACATTTGTGGAGCCTGCCACGTGTTGGGCTTTATGCCTAGGTTATGTTAAAAACTCGATAAATATTGCCTGCTTGAATAAATGAATGAATACATGAATGGAGGAATGAATGAAGTGCAACATGTAGTCACTTTCTGGGTGAGGCAAAGATGATTCTAAACGGGGCTCAGAGGAGGGAGTAATTGTTGGCGACCACAGAAAATTTTATCATAAGTTAAATAAACAAACTGAGCTAAGGTAATGCCCTGATTCACCTCAATGAGCAGTTCTGAGTACTGACTGTGTGCCTAGCACCATGCTGTCTCTATAATGGCGCAGAAAAATACAACCCACTAAATATCTTGTGTCCAGCCAGGTTCTGTGCTGGGAACTGAGGAACGGGACAGAGGAGGACAGACAGTGTGTCGGCCCTCCTGGTGCTCACAGACCAAAGGAGGATGAGATTAAGAAGAAAGAGCACAAGAATGAATATCTTGTTACTGTCCTGCCTTAATGCATGCATGTATTTAGCTTCTAATGCCAGGTGAAGCCATCACTCATTTCTTCTTCCTCTTCCTCTTCTTCCTCATCTTCCCCATTTCCCCCCTACGCCTCTACTCCTTCCTCTTTTTCCTTCCCCTCTTTTCTTTCTCTCTCTTCAGTTTCAGAGACCTCATGACTATTCCCCACCTTTTCGATTTGGGACAGTGCCTAACGGAAGTACAGAGAGAAACATTCGGAATAACTACCCCTACATGCATCAGTACATGACTAAATTTAATCAGAAGGGAGTAGAGGACGCCTTGGTCAGCTTGAAGACGGGGTAAGGATGGTGGTTCCTTTTTCTCCACAGGTGTGCCAGCAGATAAACCTTGAGGAAATGCACTCTCACAAGGCCTGCCTTGGTTTTTATCTGCTTCCTTTGCTGTATTTCTGGAGAGCAACCACAGGCCAGAAGGACCCCAGTTGAGGGCTGTTTTTGTTAATCTGATGAGCATCACAGGTTTCCTTCTGAGTTGTGTTGTGAAAAAACAAATTCAGGATGCTTTGAAATGCAGAGAACCGGAGGGGTTTCTTAAACTGATTTTAAAAAGCGTGTCCAACTCCCTGGGATATTTTAACCAAATAGAAAGATCTAAGACTGAGAGTTTAATGTCATGGAAACAAAGATTTTTAAAATTAGATTTTAGGTAGGTAACAGTTTATTTGGGGCAGGGGGAAGGAGGATAGCATACTGATAAAAGCTTTATGTGAAAACTAATTGTATGATATTGATGAAGAGAAAGAAAATATGGAGGAAAAAGCAATAAGAATTCAAATCATTTCTCTGAAGGTACAGCTCGCATCTTTGTCTACTTGTTGTTATCGTGGGGTATAGCACATACTCTGTCCCTGAAGCTGTAAGGAAGGGGCACAGTGGTTAGCAGCTTAGGCTTTGGAGAGAGAGGGCCCGCTACCAAGCCTCCTATCTAAAATGGGAATAAAAGGAGGACCTAACAGGGGAAGCATGATATAAATCATTCTGTAGATTGCCCGGCACATTGACAGCACTTGTTGTAAAGGTTAAATTCGATTCCATGGACTCTTTCAAAAAGTAAAAAGTCACGGATGCATGAAATGTATTTTAGAAAGGAGTCCATTGAAATGACTTTATTTTAAATGAATGAATTGTTTAATGAGGGAAGTTTTGGTTACCCAGAAAATTGACTTATTTGGAACATCTCAGTCGTCAGAGATTCCAGAGACAGAAATGTGACTGTAGGTGCATTTTCTTGGCAGCTTAAGAAATAGCCTCTTCCTCTGTGGCTGTCTGCAGGCCCACTGGAAGGCCTTGCTGCTGGCTTTGCCTCTGTGGGAGAGAGAGGAGAGGGTCCCCTTGAAACCATAAAACCCCAGATCTCTGCATAATCCTCCAGGAGTTTTGGCTGTGAGAATTCCAGGCTTTGCCTTTGGAATCTCTTTGATGTCTTAGCAGGGGCTGGGAGAACATTTGTTTGGAAGTTGAGTCCATGATTTACCCAAAACTCACTTAAACGCTGCTCATTTTGGCTTGGGATGATTTTTAAAAACTTTTCAATAACTACAACAAAAGTGCAGACAATTTACAAATATCAAGGATGCTGCTTTGTGGCTTTGTATAATACAGACAGATCATCCAGGTCATCAATACTTAGAAATTCCCGCTGTCTGAGTAACTTGACTGCTCACCCTTGATACTGTTAAATCAAGGGTCAGGGAACTGGTAGAAAGAAGTTTATCTTTGAGTTTGAATCCAGGGAGCAGAACCAGATTCAAGGTTATTCTAAAATGGTTCTGCTCACCCTCCAGGCTTTTACAGTTCACTTTTATAAGTCCAGAGTTGTTAGTACCTATATATAAGCCACGTGACCTGCAGAGCATTGTTTAGAACTTGACTTTCAGCTGGATTTATTGATGGTGACATTTTGGGGTCCAGACTTCCTGATGCCAAGTATTAGAGATCTCTCATAGCTTTTATCAGTAGTCCCCGGCAGAAGTGTTACTCAAGCTTGACATAGAGTAAAGGGAGTTTATAAGGCCTAAGACATCATGCATTATGCAAAAGTTATACAAGTCACAAAACTTATGATTACATTGATACAAAAGTTGCATAAATTACAAGGCTTACATTTATATTACATTGGTACTATATTATTCAAACTTATGACCACTCAGATAAAAAGGAGTAAATGGGGATTTACATCTTTAACTTGAATGGGTGTAGGCTACAGAGAAGTCAAGGATCCCCTGAAACTACTGGGAGTGTATGGGAGATAAGGAGAAGCACACCTTTTTTTTAATCAATATTTTTTATTATGATATTGTGGGGTACAGTTAAGGGTTAGGTATACAAATATGCTTCGTTCAGGCACCCTTGTTGATAAGAGGTGTCTCCCCATCCCCAGACAGATATTTACTACCGTTAATCCCATCTCCCTCCCCCCCCCATAGTTTCCCACCACTGTCAGTCATTTTCTTATAGTATTACATTGGATATTCCAGGTCCACTATATGAGTGAGAACATGTGATACTCAGATCTTTGTTTCTGTGAGAGGTCACTCAGTATTATAGACTCTAGTTCCATTCAGGCTGCTGCAAAATTCATGATTTTGTTCTTTTTTATGGCTGTGTAGTATTCCATAATGTATATGTACCACATTTTTAAATCCAGTCCTCTTTTGATGGACAGCATGGTTGGAGAAGTACACCTTTTATTAGCTCTCAGGAATATTGTTCAGAAATGTACAGGAGCACTTGAACCCTTCCCCTGCCCTTCTCTAGGAACTGTGGCAATATAGACAGACATTAGTAGGTTTCTGAATCATCTTCCAGTCAATATTTTCCACTAACCTTCCTCACTTCTAAAGCCATAGCTTCCTTTTACCTGTTATTTGAGCATGCAAAGAAAACCATACTGTAAGTTTTCTTTTCTGCTTGTCTTCTTTAGCTCAACATTCTGTTTGTGAGATTGTTGCATATAATTCTAGTTCTGTCACCCTCATTACTGTGTAGAATTTTATTGTTGGAATATACCACAAAAGTATCTCTCTCTCCTGATCTCCATAAACATTTGGGTAATGTCCTAGTTTGGGCTGTTATGACTAAGCTTCTAAGGACATTTGCACACATGTCTTTTGCTGCACAAGGGAGCGCATTTCTCTTGGTATATACTTAAGACTGGAATTGTTGAGTCATAGAAAGTTTGTGTATTTCACTTCCGTAGATTCCAGAAAATACCAATTTTTGATGACTTTTCTGCGTAGCCATGAGTGTGGGTTTTTTTTTTGTCTGTTTCCACTGTAGTCTTTTAATCAATATATGAAGCTTGACAATTAAGTCCGCCATCCTAGGAAAAGTGCTACATGCCTTATTGCTGATTATCACTGCAGTCATCTTCGAAGTACTCCCCTTGGGAAGCTATGAACTGATGCCAGCACCTAGTTTACCTGTCAAAGCAGTTTTGGAACTCTTTTTCTGGAATGACCATCAGAGTTGTTGTCTTATTAACCTTGATGTCATAAAAGTAATCAAATGTCTTCCTTTCAATACTTCCTTTATCTTTGGGTAAAGAAAAAAGATCAGGCTAGTAGGGAAGGTGTTCCCATATAGTTATTTGACAGTGCTGCCAATGCAAGAGCACAGTGGCAAGTTCCTGAGCTTAATTGTCAGACCTCAATAAAAAATGACAACAGCTCTGATGGCCGTTCCAGAAAAAGAGTTCCCAAATTGCTTTGATGGATGGACTAGGCACTGGTATTGGTGCATAGTTTCCCAAGGAAAATACTTCAAAGGTGATCATAGTGATATTCTGCAATGAAGTATGTAGCACTGTCCTAGGATGGTTTGCGAACTTAATTGTCGGACCTCGTCTACTGATGCTGTGGATCTCCTATGAGCATAAATGTGGATGACAACAGTTGGGAACAATGGTGGAAGCCTGACTTGCTCCCTCTTCATTCATTTATTACCCAGAGCACAAAGTGGTTTGTTTTATTTCTTTTTCAATCTTTTTTTAAAAAAATATGACACAAAAGGCTGGGCTCGGTGGCTCAGCCTGTAATCCCAGCACTTTGGGAGGCGGAGGCGAATGGATTGCCTGAGCCCGCGGGTTTGAGACCAGCCCAGGTAACTTGGGGAGACCTCGTCTCTACAATTAAAAAAAAATTAGCCAGGTATGATAGCTCACACCTATAGTTCTGGCTATTTGGAAGGCTGAGGCAGAAGAATCGCTGGAGCCCAGCAGGTTGATGCTGGGGTGGCCGTGAGTGTGCCACTGCACTCCAGCCTGGGTGACAGAGTGAGACTCCAACTCAAAAAAAAAATGATACCAAAAAAAGGAGAGAAGTGGAAACCATCTTGGCCATAAATTGTACACATTGTTTTCTGGAAGCCATCAAATAATGATTACATTCATTGTAGCAAACTTGGACAGATGGTAGGTTCACTCTACACCATGTGAGGGATGCTTTGCACAGTTCCTTTAAACACAGAAACCTAAGCTCCAGGAGTGTGAGTCTTTTTTTTTTTTAAAGAAATAACTCAATATATCCTCAGGGATGAGAACATAGCAGTGCTTGTTCCTGGAGACTATATTTTAGTGAGGTTAATGTTGAGGGAAACCACAAGCATGTATTAGAGACTCCTTGGTTAATTGTTTAAATAAATTAAATTTTGGATAAACAATACCTTTTATAATTCAAAATCAAAAATATAGAAAAAGAAACAGTAAAGAGCCTTCCCACCATACTCTTCCTCACTGGTTCTGTACTGCCCCCCCCATAGTGACCCCATTTATTTTGTGTGTGCCTCTGGTGTGCCGTTCCAGATGTTTCACTATCAATGTATAAAGAGCTCTAAAGTTACTTTTTATAGATTCATAGTCTTTCATTATGTAAATGTACCATAACATATTTGGTCAGTTCCCTATTTTTTTTCAAGTCCTTTACCCATCTCTTAATTGTGTTGTTTGTTTTTCTTCCTTTTTCTTTTTTTTATACATATTTTTATTTTAAAATTGTGGGGCAGAGTTAAGGGTTAGGTATACAAATATGCATTGTGCAGGTACCCTTGTTGATGAGGTGTGTCCCCCACATCCTCAGACAGATATTGACTACCGTTAATTCCACGTCCCTTCCCCTCCCTGTCCCCCCATAGATCCCGCCACTGTCAATCCTTTTCTTAGTAGTATTATGATAGTTGTTCAAGGTCCACTTATGAGTGAGAACATGCGATACTCAGATTTTTGTTTCTGTTTGAGACCATTCAGTATCATAAACTCTAATTCCATCCAGGTTGCGGCGAAG